TGCCGGTTCACCTGTTAAAAATAACGGTAAAAGCAGCCTTACAAATAGGCAGAGAGGGGGAAATTATGTAAGCAGAGCTCGTACAACAAACTACCCGGCCCCGTGTTGCACATTCACCGAGTCGGTCCGTAAAGCGGTAAGTTCAGAAGAAAGTGTCTCTAAAAGCAGACAAGCCTCTTAAATTAGCCGGAAAAGTTATTAATATTGAACGTTTTATTGAACGCAGCACAGGCTGTAGGAGGAAAAAGAAAAAGGTTTTCTTTTTATGTATTTCACAGCAGAGAACGGGCACAGCTTTGAGGTCAGCATTTAACTCTGAACACTCACCTTCACAAAGACGAAAAAACGCTGAAGCAGTCGTCTACACGGTAGAGAATAAGTCCCCCGTCTTTAAATCATGTAGAAAGTCTGTAAAAGGAATAAAAAAAGAAGAAAGAAATCCCCGAAGAACTCGCTGAAGAAGTGAAGTATCCCAAACTGTTTTCCCGCAGGCTTCGGCTTAATGGAGTCCAGCCTTCTCCTTTCCTCCCTCCCTCTCTTTCCAGCAGTATAACGTCACCGTCACTTCTCCAATCCCACTTTTCCTTTCATACTGGGAGCTTTTCTGGTCGCGTACTGGTCCCTTTGTCGCCTCTCACACACGTAACACTCGAAGCTTTCAAATGATTTGTGTGCCTCTGTGTGTGTGAGAGAGAGTCGCCTCCCTCCCGATACTTTATGCGACGTTGTAGAAATAATAATTAGCGTGACATTTAACTATTACTTAATTAAAATGCAATAAAACAGGACATTAAAAAAAGGTAAAAATAATTGCATCAAAATGAACTCAAAAGTAAAAGTGCGGTGCTGATAGATATACCAGTAATGTATATCCCCTATATATAGTACAGTATTTTAATATTTTTAGTAAATCCATGATGGAAGAAAATCGTGTGATTTTCATTATGTATTTCTGCCAACTTTATATAGCTACAGATTGGAGCTTTAAGCAACAGGAATGAAAAAAAAAAGTACTTCTACAAATATATCATCTTCCTTATTCTAGATCTTAAATGCAGCATATGAGACATAAAATCCAACATAATGGCTCAGGTTTTAAAAAGCTGTCTGACAAGTCCATACATTTATTTGACAATCACGCCATCTAAAAATATAAGTCATGTGTGAATGTGAGCTATATGTGCAAGCTGTTTTATTACAGCTTTGCTTTCTGGAATAAGAAATTCATCCGTTTCTGGTAGTGTTATTAGACATGCAGTTAAGATCTCAAGCTACCTTTTATGGCAATAGTGCTGCTGAGCCTTGCAGCAGCATCCAGGGATCTTTGGTTCTTTATTCATGGGAGTAAGTGGACAGAATAACAGGGAATTTTGGTTTCATCACTTTTCCAATGTGTTTTTCCAAAATCCCACTTTACTGATAGCCATAAATACTGTTATTTTCTTTAAGTGAACACTATTTCAGCCAGTCGATTAATATGAAGTGTGGAAATTAGCCAAGCAATGCAGATCCCTCTGTTCTTTGCTGACATTGAAACATTTGGCTGTAAAATTTGAGCCTGTGAAGAAAACTTCCTCACAAATATTTATTTTTATCTAATAGAAAATAATATACCAGAGCATAAGACGTAAAACTCCAGACAAGAAATCTAAAAAAGAAGAAATGGTTCAGTAGTGAATAAATAATCTTAATTAGATTATCCAATTCCACATCACATATTATCTTTTGTAAACTATATTTAACTGTCTCTAAGCCACTAATTACACTGTATTAGAAACTAATTGAATTACAGAAGCATCACATGTTGAGTGCTGATAAATCATCAGTAACTGCAGAGAAAAGGGAACACTGGGAGCTTTTACACATGCTTTCTGTGAGGTGATCAAATGAAAACTTTGTGGGGGGGGGGAATCAGAAAGCCAGCCATCTCCTTTCTCTCCAGAGCAGCAGAACAATACCCGCTCTCCAAGTGAGATGCAGTAAAGGGCCATGAATCATCAGTGTTTCTGGCTCTGTCTTCTGATGAACTCACTGAGCTCCAATCCTCCAGCTCAGGAATCTGGGCCTTCAGACTACGGTCGGCATCAAAGCGATTTATAACCGCTCTCCTTGCAGCTCCGACCCCCTCGTCAGTGTCTGGCAGTCGACCCATTGCCTTTTATAGGCTGTGTTTTAATTGCAGAGTAAACATTTGAGTCAGCCAGATGCAGAGCAGGAGAGTCAGATGGAGAGCTGGCTTGGCTGCTGGTGATGTGGATGAGGACAGAGGAGGTATAGTGGAGGAAGCAGAGCAGTGAAGGAGGTAAGGGTAGGAGGTAGCGGGGTGCTCAGGGATTCACATTTATTGGGTTTTTTTGGCATTTGTGGTTGTAGATGGCTGTAGTACATTCCATTTTTCCTTAAAGGTATATAAGTGAACACAACAGAGCAGTCATGAATATATTTAAGCATATTAATACTGCCAAAAATAGCTCAACTAGGTAAGAGCAATAGATGGAAATGACTTAAGAGGAAGGACACTGGACAGCTGGTCACTGTGGTCCTGTTTTTTTGAGTATTATCATTAGATGACCAATGACTGACCTCTTGTGGTCAAACACAGAACAACAGGGCCTTTTGTGAGTCACCTCTAACTGGTCCCATCTGTGAGCCTCGCCTTTGCAGATGTTGCTAAACTGCATTAAACTCGCCCCCAGTGGAAGCCACAACAGCTTTAATACAATGCAGGCTATTCACAATCTATAAGTCGGCTTTGTTGTTCACTTCAGGGGGCGCCTCGGAAAGAATCTGGTCTGAGTTTCAGATGAACAAACGCTTCTTTTGTCCTCAGTCTGGAAATGAGAAATGAAAGCATCGTCCTCCTCCACAAAAAAAGTTTCCAATCTCAATATTTTACTCTGATTATTAAAAGTAAAAAAAAAAAAAAAAAAAAAAAAAAAAAAAAGACAGTTAATGAAGTACTGATTACATCCAAATTGGAATACTTTATAAAAAGGACATTTATACAGTGTTTTGGATGGCAGTTAGAATCCAATACAGGCATGAGTTATTGCACAGCTCCTGGGACATTTCTCCAGATCACCATATCCCTCATCATCCCATTTCATTCAACACACCCACAGTTTAATGTACATCCATTTCCCCAAAAGCCATTTATAAAGGTCTTTAGTCTGTGGACACCTGTGCTAAACTGTTTAATTATGGCTTTAATCTGGTATTGACAAGAGTGTTGAAGCTACAAAACATGTACAAGCAGACATTTCCCTGATACTTGTGGTATCTTTGACAAGACAAAAAAAAAAAAAAAAAAAATGTATTGTTGTCATTCAAAATGTTGTACATCAAAATCTCATACAGTGAAACTTACAGCATATTTTACCAAAATTATCTTTAATGCGCTCCAGTTTCTTGCCTGTGACACGTTTGAAAATAAGCCTAAATATGAAAATGTGCAAATTTTCACACAAGTTTTAGAAACAATGTTATTGTTACAACTACGTATTTGCTGTGTTGAAACTCACAATGTTTGACTCAATGAATGCAAAGCAAGAACAGCACTGTGTATTTGAAATACATATCCAGATTGTTTTATGCACCGTAACAGACGGGAAGTAAAGAATAAATAAAAAGTCAAAAACGGGCTGTGTTAAAATAGTTTCTGTGCAATTTATAGCCCATGAATGTTCAAGAGCCACCAGATCAAATACAGTAACACTTAACTACCCCCCTCCCTTATTAGACCCAGCTTCTGCACTACTTCCTGGTTATCTATCAGGTGATCTCCACAAGGCAGCCTGGTTTAAGTCAGTAGGCCTTTGTACACAAAACACAGAAGTTAAAGAAACGACAGTCAGCGACAGCCCTTGTGTGGCACAGTAAAGCTGCAGCTTGCACCATAACAAATTCAAAAACAACTGATTACTACATTACAATAAGCAGAACACAAGTTAAAGTTGACAATGACAGAAAGGCTCGTCTGTCACATAAATATTTACGAGGACAGTTTCATTTCATAATCTACAGCAAATAAAATCTATTCATTAGAAAAGCCAAAAGCAATCACACGTTTTTAGTCAGAATAAAGTTTCTTGGATGTGTGTTGGCACGCAGCATTATTCTTGTCCCAACAATCCATTTACTATTAATTTGACACCATGCAAAGTGAGTAAGCACTAACTTGTGCTGAATCAGTACTTTGAATTATAGCTACAATAACCCCCATCAGTACTACTATTATATTTTTATATGTAAAATTTTATGATTTTCCATCATTTGTCATCCTTCTTTTCTATTTCAACTGAATTTGTAAGTGAACGATCAAGCTAGCAAAGTGTGACCTGTGGACAAAAAAAGGCAAACAAGACATTTGTTTTTATAATGAAGGTAACGTTTAAAAATTAAATAATCTACTCTACTTTTTTAACTCCAGGCCAACCGCAATTTTGCCTTAGCATTAATTGAGCAGGGCATCTAATAAAAGGTGACACATACAAGTTATTTGGCCACAAGCTCAAATCCCTTTTTTTTTTTTCTGAGGTAACATCCAGTTTAAGATCCCCAAAGTGTCCGAAAGTTACTAGGAAAAAATATTTCTGTATTTGTTTTAAGAAAAAATACATCTAGTACCAATGATTCATCAATACAAAGCCACGCGGACAAAAATCATCTCCATAAGTTATCCCTAAAATAGAAGCTTGTATTTAGGAGGAAATAGTGATATTGTTTCGAGTGAGTATGTAAGATTTAGATTTTAGACTATGGTTTAGATCTCTACACTGTAAGAAAATAAGTAAATACAATTTAGTCACTGTGTTTGTAAGACACATCTGCCCCCTTGGTACTGCACTATTTATCAGTGACGATTAAACAGAAAGGAAAATGTTATACTCTATTTGTGCAGTATAAAACTAGTGTTTTACTTGGGCTTTATTTGGTGCACTCTATTTCAAGACTCAAATAATTGAAAATTTAAAAAAAATAGAGGGAAAAAAAGTACCAAAATAATAATTATTATAATAATTTGCCAAAATAATATGATTTAATTATAATGCATTATGTGTCTTTTATGCGGGAAAGTAAAGAAATATTATATATTACACATTGCCTTTGTTTGCTCCCATGGGTTTCTTAGCATGCAGTAGCTAAATATTCAACTTGAAGAAGAGAACTTTGCCAAAAATGTTCTTTTCTTTATGTTTGTGTGTGCGCGCGCATTTGTGTAACAGAGAAAAACAAACAAACAAAAATATCAGACATAACTTGACACCTTAGTGACTGAGGCTTAGTCAAATGTGCCCCAAAGTTTCAGACAGAGTCTGTAGCTGAGCAAATTGACTTAGGTATTGTTTTACATGAAATCGATGGACATGATAGACACAGTTCAGCTGTTGAAATTCACACTGGGAATGAAGTTAGAAGTCTCTTCCTCTGGGTGCAACAATCACCTATGCATCAGTGCTTTTGTTCCTAAATAAGAGTTCCTGGTCCACCGGATCCACCATCAGGGTAAGCAATTGTGCAGAACGTAAAAAACAAACAAAAAAGATGAAAAGTTTGGAAGAAAGTTCTGAGTCTGTAAGTAATGATTCCCAAGTATTAAAAGTGCTTGATCGGGAGCCAAACAAAGACAGGATTTTTTTTAGCGTATTTAAGTTTGTAAGCAATCAAAAGTAATGAACAAAGTCACTTTATGTGTCACAAGAGATGCTTTCACTCTTTCAGTGTTGTGTTCCGTTTTAAAAAGCATGCTGCCTCACTCTGGATCCGGGGTATCTGCTGGGTTAGAGGGTGTCGCCTTCTGTTTATATATGAAGGTCAACAAGAAGAGAGCTATGTCATGTGAGCACCAGTAGCTTGTGTGTGAGGTCACTGCTGACCAGTAGCGGCTCTCCACCAGACCCTCTCTGAGCTCAAAGTCAATGCGACGCTCAAGCTCCACTGCAAGACAGAAAAACAAATGAGTAAAAACAGGAAGTATCAAGACAAATGCATAATAATACATGATTAAAAACAGACACCACATGACATCAATAGCCTGCACATAAAAGATGTCCATAGCCACACTGACATCTAGTCGACCGAGCACGTAGTGAGTGAAAGTGTGAATCTGCCTGGAAACCAAGGGCACATCATGCTGATAGTAGTGCCTTGTTCATCACACAGCAGACATGCCCTAGATTACTCTGCTTTATCCAGTATCCGTTAACTTCACTTACTACAAATAAAAAATCATTTTTATTTAGTCTAAGGAGCTTGGAAAGAAAGTGACTGGACTTCATTACATTTCTTAAAAGACATCACCTCTCATCCGCGAAGCTTCTTCAGTTCTAAAAAGAACTACCATGACCCTGAAGACATCATTTTTATTTATGTATTTTTTCACATTTTCATATTTTTAGACTAAACTCATTAATATCACGAATCAAGAGAACAGTAGGTTTATTTTCATAGACATCTACTCTATCCTCCTTCTTTATGCAAAGAGCAGTCGCCCCCTGCTGGCTATGAGAAAGAATGCAGGTGTAGGCCGTTTGTCACTTTCTCTGGAGGCTACAAACATCCTTTTCTTTTAAATAAAAACAAAAAACATTACTATATTACTACACTATACTATAACTATGTTACTGCATTATTTATTTATTTATCTTTAAATCTAATTTAATTAGATTTAATCTAATCTTGAGTACAGTGAACCTCAGTGCCATTTCAAAAACAAAATACTTAATAAGAAAGTTAACAGATGGATGTGGATGATATACTTTTTTGCCTTATTTACAAACCAAAAAAAAGAAAAGAATATAAACATTACTCGAGGGATAAGTGAACTTACAGGATGTGTCAGCAGTGGGTGAGGTGGGTCGAGTCAACATAGAGAGGCCGTATGCTGACTGACTTTCTGTGCGCTTTTGCTCCTCTTCTTCAACACTTGCTCCACCCTCAAGTCCCAGAGACACTGAAGGCTGGCTGTTGGAGCGGGAAAAACGTGAGAAGAGGATTCCTCCAATGCCCTTTCCTATGCTTGCTGCTCCTGTAGTGTCGGAATAAGACAGTAGATAAAGGTAAAGTGCCTATATTATGATTTCAAAGTATAAATGCATTCATTATTATAAAAGGAGCATATTCCTCTCATTTCCACTTGATGGCACTGTGGAGCTAAAACTGTGATTTGAAAAAACAAAACAAAACAAAAAAAAAACTCATCTTACCTACATACAACGACCTCTTAGGATAAAATAGATTCATTAATTACAGAGTACAAATAGCACAGGGATTTTTTTCCCAGCTCTCACTCTGAGCACATAGTTGTCATCAGAAATTAAAAGAACAGTCAACAACCTGCACTGATCAGCGACAGTATTACGAACATAGACGAGTCAAGTGTATAAAATTATCTCAGTACAATGCAAAGTTCAGCTGGAAATCCTTGGATCCTCGCATTCACATGGCTATTAATTCAACAGCGAAAACTCACTTAAGCATTTTTTCAGACTAACACATCAATTACCTTTTACCACAGTAGTCTGTTCCTTCAGGTTCATCTAATCTTATCCTGAAGTAGTGAACAACCACAGACACTTTGATCCTGAACAGTCATTACTCTAAACTTCCTTACAGACTATTTTTAAATTCTTTCAAAGTGTATAACTGATGCTGGATAACAAACACTTGTAATAACATAAACACATGTGCTCAGTTTGTGTTGGACTTACCCAATATGCTGGCCTTGCCCAAATTAGTGATTGACTCCCCATAGTGCCTCCGGGGTAGGACAGGTGATGTACTGGGGCTGGGGATGCTTTCTGTATCCGACGTGGGATCTTTAACAGGGTTGAGAAAAGTAGGCCTGATCTCATCATAAGTTGTGGGGTTAGTGGCGCTACACCTGATGAATACACAGACCACAAATAGTCAGAGAATAATTACTTATAAAATATTAAGAGTCCATTCAAGGAATAGCAGGGTGATAAAATTCAGGTTGTTACCAGTGTATCTGAACAGGTGCAATGTTGCTATAATGTTTCAAGATGAGTGGCTCCAATCTGTAGGCCTAAAAAGGCAGTAAAACAGGAGTTATTGACATTGCACAGTGGAAAAAACAAAAAACCTAAACTCTTCAGAACAAAGCGCGCTCTAAATTCATGCAGACAAAACTAAATCTTGACTTAAGCACAGTTACATTACATCCACCACATTTCATGTGCATTCAGAAAAAACGTGTGCTCACCAGCAGAGTTTAAGTTTGCTCTCACAGCTAACTTTTATCCTTTAAGTGCACTTTCCCAGACACAGAGCAGCCAAAGTGTCAAGATGGACTGCTGTAGGACTGTATGGAGGTTGATCAACTTGAAATGTAACAATTTCATCAGCTAATATATTCACTTTAATAATTAATACAGCAAATGGAGGCCAATTCAGATTAATCGGAAGGGAAAAATGCACCTGCTATAAAAAAAAAAGCTTTATCATCACTCTGGGATTTTGGCTAGCTTAGCATTAGCATGCTGTCTGTGCAGATGCTTGCAAAGACCCAAAGTGCTGTTAGCAGCAAAATGCCGTTGTTTTTGTTCTGAATGTAAATAAAAATTAAAGTATCGTCCATATCTATGCTGTAAACTGCGCCACTAATTTCCTCCTCAGACACATGAACTGAAATCAGCTGTTTGTAGTGTAAATGGAACTGATAAGCCGACGCGATAGGTAAGCAGACCGATAATTCCAAAGAACTGAACTACTGGGAACCGGTTCTCGATTTCCTTTCCTGCTCATCTATAAAGGACAAGACAGTGATGGGTACAGTAAGGGTACTGACCACAGGGTCTGTGGGATGGAAGACATTGAAGAGCCTGCTACAGATTGAGGTGGGCAAGATGTGGTCTTGGTGAACACTGGTACCAGGGCGGATTCCTCTTAGTGCCAAAAATACTGCCAGAGGAGAACCCATGCAGAAGAAATTCTCTACCTGAGAAATGAAAGGTGCCAAGATTATTTACTGTAAATGTAGAAGTCTTTCGTATTTATACAGACAGGATTTATTTGTTGTGTAAATGCCACATTTAATTTGTTTTATTTCCTATATGGACATATATTCATTTATTTTAGGAGTACAGAGCATATTAGTTTAACACCTAAAAGTTTGTCAAAGATTCTTACACATTACAGTAGTGATATTTTACAAAGCAATATAGTACCTTAAATTTCAGGGCTGGGGGGGCTGAGGGTTTAGAGGCCTCAAGTGTGGCGAGTTGATTTTTCAGCTCTTGTAACCTGCAACAAGAAGCAAGTAAAGAAGCCCAAACTACACCTTATAAAGAAATTTGAAATTTCTAAACTCCAGCGTGAAAATCTCTTTCAATATTGATACCCATTGCCCCATTAACAAAAGAGGCCAGTCATCAAAAAGTCCCCTTTTCAGTCAGATCAATAAACCTTATTACAGCTTTTTCTTGTCTTACAAAGTTAATGGTGCACACAATAATGGCACTGTGCACACAGCGTGATGGGCAGTGGCCAGCTGATGTATTACTCTGCAGCCCACACACACTAAAAACAAACAAGCAAAAATAAAACTTTAAAATAGGGCACGAGAAGAGCAGCATGCAGCACATGGCGTATTTATTTTAAATAAATATATAACTGCTCACCCAACACGCACACGCACACACACAAAATTATTAGGCTTGATGTTAAATTTAAGGATATAAACTGAGTGACAGTAACACTGAGCCACTGATGTTATGGCATAGATGATTAAGGGAAACATTCGGAGTAAAGTAAAGTTCAATTAATCAGATTTTTGGAGGTAAAATAAACATTTAATTATGAGCTTTTCATTAAAATTTAGTATGAGTGGCTATTTTTTTAAAATATTTTAATAAACATGTTAAATTTAACCTATCTAATTCGACTACAAAGCTGAATTGGGGAGGGGGTTCTCAAGGCTCCTTGACATTAACCGCTTTAAACTCATATCTTTTAGGATCCAAACAGACACAACTGAACTGAACACAACTATACATACAGCCCCTGAGAGTCATTAACCTACAAAGGAAAGCTCTACCTGTTCCTTGTTTGCCTCTGCTGCTCTAAAAGGTGCCTCTCTTCATAGGACATCCAGCGAAGGTCTAGGTCCTCCTCCACAACGCGATGCTCCTGCAAACAAAACCGCACGGGATCCCAGCCAGTAATGATGTCATACGCGATGACACAGCCAAGAGAGTGAGACACGATAGACACTTTGCCACCCTTTTTCTCGAAATCAGGGTTCCGTGAACAGAAAAGTGAGTAGAGCTTGTTCAGCTCCTCTGTTAGACCCTTGGTAATCTGGAGAGGGAGAGAATGTGAAATAATGAGAAGAGACGAAGAGAGAGCACCAGGGACTCTAATTACTGAATCTGTATGACTCTTACTTCATCCCGGTAAAGAGGGCTGTTGTAATACATGATATCCATGGCACTGCTGTTGAGAAGGTCTCTCAGTCCTCTCACTTTGTCTGGTGTGATCGAGTCTACCGTATCTGCAGAAACATACCCACATCTGAGCACAAAAAAAAGAGCTAACGACAACAGACTATTGTTCATATACTGTATGCAGTCATCAAAAATGTATTTCTTCCACAAAAGACAACAACATGCATGCACACCTCCGTCCAGTGTGAGTTTGGAGCGCCACTCGACAGGCAGGAACTCCACATGTTCCTCATTGTGCTCTGAGAAGTGTTTCTCCTCCATCTTCCTCACACCTTCCCGCAGCCTAAACATACAATAACAAAACAGCATATAATGTATTTAACAACAATATTGCAGATATACAACTGAAGAGTGCATTTGGGAATATGCTGTTTAGTAACCATGTCATTGTCACTTTGTCTCAGGAGCAGTTTATTATAACGACAGATTCGAAGTCTAAATCTATATAGTCTTAGTCATACGACTGTCAGACAGAAAAGAATGATGCCCATTTTACTGATGCAGCTGCTTCCCTTGTGCAGCATGCATACAAAGGCTACACTGCTATTAGCCCTATATGGGACACCATTAGCTTGCAGGATACACTAAATACACAAAGAGAGAGGGGTGAGGCAGTTGTTGACATGGATAAATGGAGGTTGGGAGAGGCTTTTAAATGACTGCACTGTGAATAGAGCACCTAATGCAGGTTTTGACAGGACTTTCAGTGCAGGGGAAATGCTCAAAGGTCTGAGTGCTGCTTTACAGCTTTCCCAAGTTTTGTAAGGTTTTCCTTGCTTTTAGATTGGCTTTAATGAAGACAGTCAGGTTTGGCATTTGAGGATTAGCAGGTTTACACTGTCTGATTTTGTTTTAGGACATTGTAACTGGAACATCTCACCACAATTTGCTTCATCAACATACATGTAAGAGACTGAAAAGACAAATACCTAATATTACTTCAGGTAAAAAGAAGCAACCAAAAATCAAACAAATACATCAGGGTTAGGATGATTGTTTCTCTTGGCTGAGAAAGTGTGTGCGCTATAATCTACATGAAGATAGAAGAAATGTTTACAATATGTTTACAGTAAACATTTACATTGCAGCTTGACTGTGTACTTTATCTGCTTTATCTCCTTAGTTTGTGACACAGTGACAGTTCTGCACAAGTGTAATTAAAGCTTCCACACCTATGGTCCAAGGCTATTTCAGTTATTCCTTTAGATAAAAACAGACATATGAAAGGACTGCATCTAGCTTAAGCAACATATGATCAATACTGTATACACAGCTGAACTCCAGTGAGTTTAAAAGAGAAATTGATGCTGTGATAACTTACTTTATCAGATTTCTATAGACAGAAGTGTCTATTGTGCACTGTCATTTTAAGCTCTACATAATTTACAATTTTCTAAGTTCCTCATAACAAGATGTAACTTTTGAAAGACAAAAGAAACTCAGTAGGTTTATTCAAGTAAAGTATCAACACAGCATCAAGCTGACTGTTTTGTTTTTATGTGTCGAGTGCTCTATAGAAGATCCAAATAAAAGAGATACATCTTCCCACTGGCATGAAATCTGGACAGATGAAGGTTATATAACCAATAAGTATATAAAACACTGAGACAGAATGGCACGACTTGATTAGGAACTGATTAGGACTGGAAACATGGGCAAAAACTGTAACCACATTTTTGCCTATGTTTCCAGTCCTGGAAACAGCTGGTTTTATTCTGCAACATGAATCCTGTCATTTTTCTTTACTTAATTTTATAGAACTGCATTTCCCTGTTCTGTTGTGTCTATGTGTGTTATTTTTAAGGTTTGGTACACTGTGTGATCACACATTAACAACGCAAGTGTAAATTAACAGAACGGCATGAGCAGACCAAGAGTGAGAAAGATGGGTAGAGAAAATCAGGCAGGAGAAGAAAACAGAGTCTGCAGGAGTGGAGAGGGGAAAACTGAATGATTTAGTGGATACTGTTGTATGAGCAGTGCTTCAGTTATGCACTCTGACACTTCAGAAATGCACTAGCTACATAATTGGCAACAAAAGAAGACAGACAGGTATGTGTCAGGTTTATGTCAAATCCATCATATCACATTACAAAAAAACCACAACAAAATGATGTAAGCTTAGTTAGGAGCACAGAAACGTTAACACACAGAGAAACTATGAATCTACAAAAGAGGAACAAGAAGTGAGACTGTTTGTTTTTAGCAGAGAGAACATGAACTGTGACAGTTCCAACATTACACCACAGTATGTCCCAGGAAGACTTTTCTTACAATGCCTTTGACTTCATCTATACTAGGTTTTAATTTTATTCCGGATTCCATTGGAATGAAATTGAAAGTACTGCTATCATAAAAAGAACAAACATACAGGTATCAACTCACATTCCAGTGTTTTTAATAATGCGCCCCTGGTCCATCTTCTGTCCAATGCCATGAACCACAAAGACAATGTGCGTAGTCTGAGGGGGTCTGTCTTCGGGTGAGGCCTCCTCAACATAACCCCGATGGAGCCGCGTACCGCTGCTTGAGGCTAAAAGACAAGTAAGGACGGGGTTGGAGTTTCATTTTACAAAAGCAAGCTTTAAAAAGAAAAAAAATCCAGCTATTTAAACTTAGTGTTTTCTGTAGAACATTATTTAAAAAAACATTACAACTATGTTCACCAGAAAGCTATAAAAAGCTGCAGTGATGGAGTCCAAAGAGGCCAGTAGGTGAAACCTGGGAACCCTGCTGTGATTGTGGCTGCCAATGTGTCAATGGGGCCAAGTGTGTCACCTTATTTAGAATCTATAATCTAGTCTAGTCATGTGTTACACAGCAGGGTAATAGAATCTACTGGACTGCTGCCTGGTTAGCACTAAATGAACATCTCAGGTAAAATTGAAATAACCAGGTCCATTTTGTCCAATAACCTGAAAGCAGGAGAGATTAATGTGCTGTAGGGCTTGAAGACTGTAGATCAGAATAGAGTCATCCATCCGGATCAAACATCAATTGCTTTTTGTTATCTTTTCAGTAGCACATGGGCCCTTTAAGCACTTGGCAGATGGACACAGAGTGACCTCCTGGGCTAATCCAGTTAGGACACTGCGTTTAAATACCTGATGCAAACTACAAATGCATTAATATACAGGTCGTTGTGTGCA